AAAGTTCATTCTGAATTTTCAAAACTTAATTACCTCTTTACTGATAAATTATAGTTGCCTGCAAAAAAAAAAATCCGCGATACTTAACAAGTTTCCCAAGGATTCCGCTTGATAAATTCATGTCATCTGGGAAATTTTTCGTTTTCTGGGAAATTCTTTTGGAGCAGCTACCGAAGTGAGCTCATGGTTTATGGTTTCAGAATCCTTATCATGATAAGAGCTCGTTTTATGGAAAGTTATGCCTTTTTCAGTTAATCTACAAAAAACATGTGTTAACCTTAAACACCCAAATATCAGTATGAATATTTTCCATAACGTTTTCTATACATTCCTAGGGGTACTGACAAGGAGAATTTGTTTAAAATTCAAGAGCTTCTTTGCTTGGTGATCATTTCGTTTTTTATTGTGACCTTCATGGTTGATTCAGGAGTGATATTGTGTGGAGAAACTAGATGCTAGTCACTCCTTGGGGTTAAAGTTATAATAATTCTGAATGATCATATAAAGGAAACTTTGTTTTCAGAATGGACGCAAGAATAGACAGCAATATGGAGGATGCCGTCAGAGGGATAGATGAGTTGTCTGACGCTGAAAGGCAACAATGCTGGAGTGGTCTACATGACCTTCAAATGAAGACGGCGAATGCCCGTGTCAAAATCCAAATAACCGCAGACAGTTTTCGTGCAGCGGCTGATAAACTGGATCAAGTATGGCGGGACTGTAAGATAGCACATGCTGCTGGAACAACTGGTGGAATAATTTCGGGTTGCCTCGCCCTTGCAGGTGTAACAGTAATGACGGGAGGTGCTGCCACGCCATTTCTGTTGGCTGGACTGGGTTTTGGAGTCGGCGGGGCTGTCACAAATATCGGGACAAGCTGTGTGGAGGCTTCCATAAACTCTTCTGAAATAGAGAAAGCTGAAAAACTCTGGAGGGAGGCTTTAGACAGTATCAACGTTGTTACTACGACTGTACAGAGTTGGCTGAATAAGAAAGAGATGGCGAGGATTGGTTACATTCTGTACCTTGCAGAAGCCTTCGAGTTTGTCGACCCCGTCCTGCTGAACCTGCTTCATGATATGGTATCCACTGCTTTCGGGATTCCCATCAACATACTGAAAAAGTTATCTGCCGCTGCAGCCCCGTCGAAGGCCGGAGCAAAACTCTTGACAGAAGTCGGTGCACAGGGGGGAAAAGGAATAGCCCAACTAGCTGATGACGCAGCACAAGTAGGAAAGACAGGATTGCAAGTGGCTGATGACATGGCTCAAGTGGGAAAAGCAGGACTGCAGGCTTCTGATGACGTGGCACAAGCAGGTGCCAAAGCAGGGTCCAAGTCGGCAGGGAAATATGCTGGTAAAGTCTTGATTGCAGCCAACATTGCATTCCTGATGGTGGATTGCATAGACCTTGGATTCACGGTCAGAGATCTTGTTAAAAACAAAGGATCCGAGGCAGCAAAAGATTTGAGGAGGAAGGCAAAGCAACTCGAGGATTTACTCAAGAAGTGAAACAGGCAAGGAACTCTGATGAATAGACGTAAATAAGACTCTTTCAGATAAGAAACATTCAATTATTGACTCTCAGTTTCAGTATAGTGATTAAATGTTCTTAAATTACTTAAACACAAAACACTACCAGTAACGTACAGTCATGTAAAGAGATACAAATGATGGAATCAATGTCACTAAGTTTCAAAGCTTTTTTGTACTAACTGCATAGAGAACCTTTGCGATGAACCCAGTCCTGTTCGAGCTGTCCAGACATTTTCGAAGGTTTTCCACTTATTTCGTAAGCCGTTCCGAATATTTCAAAGGTGTCCTGGTGAGTCTACGCCAAATTGTCAGAAGTAATCTCCCCTCCATGTTCGAAGGTTTCCATCAGTTGTATGGTGTGTTCTCAGTTAAGATCTTATTGATTGGAATTTCTCTTGATTCCCCGTACATTTCTTGAAAACTGCGTCAATTAAGGCTGGGATAGCTCGAGTTCTTATCTCTAGATGTACTGGCTTGGTCAGCCGCCATAAGCTGACATGATGTAGGAATCTTTAATCCTTTAAATCCCAGGACTGATTGTTAATTCTCCCCTTTAGCTGCTCAACATTTCCTTGTAAATTCTACCTGATGAGATTGAATATTCTCATTACCTGTTTGCTGATTAATGTATGGATGTTATGGGGAGAAGTTTCATGTAAATCACGTCTAGAGTTAAAGGGTTAATCTGCATGCGTGAGGCCAGTTGACAGACCTAATATTGTAAGTAACTGAATAACAAAGAATGTAAACAAAAATGCTCAATCAGTGTTTTGCATTTTACAAATTTGAAATTCTCGAAGTTTTTAATAAAACATAACTTCAAAATGACATAAAAACGGTCAAAAGCCCAGAAAGACCGCTGCAAGAGATGTGGGTAACACTAGTTTAAAGAACTTTAGTTTTTCACCTTTGAAAGGTTTTGTAATAATTGCAGATCACATGTGCATTCATTATAACAACCCAGAAACGAAGGGACGATTCAATAACGTCGCTGTTTTCACAGTTAAAAGAGACTTAAGTTATGTTGAGTATAGATATTTCTTTTCCAGCAAGGATTAAAATTTAAAAACTTCTCTTGTTATTCCTGGTTATTATTGACA